TGCCTGGGTGATCAGCAGTTGGGTGTCTGCCTTTGGCTCAGGACGTTGATCCCGGAGTCCTGGGATCGAGTCCCACATCGGGCTCCCTGTGTAGAGCCTGGTTCTCCCTCTGCCTGTGTCTCTGCTTCTCTGTGTGTGTCTGTCTCTCATGAATAAATAAAATCTTGAGAAGAAAATAATTTTCAAAATCCAGAAAAAACAAAGAATCCAATTAGAAAAATGGGCAAAAGACACAAAGTGACATTTCTCCAAAGAGCATATGCAGATGGCAACTGAGCCTATGAGACAATGCGCAATGTCATCAGCCACCAGGAAGTGCAAATGAAAACCACAGTAACCTACCACTACACACTTAGCAAAAGAGCTAAAATTTTAAAAATTAGTGCTAGCAGTCAAACGCAAGTGAGGCTACAGAAAAATGGGGATCATTCTCATGCTGGTGGTCAGGTTATGAATTGGGGTGCCCACTCTGGGAAACAGTTTGGCACTTTCTTCTGGAAAGAAGCAACCAATCCCTCAAAAGACATCCTCCTTTTGCACATTTTTCCCCAAGAAAAGAAAATTTGTGTGCATAAACATTCACAGCGGCTTTATTTGCAAGAGTCAAAGCCCAGAAACAACCCCGGGACCTGCAGGGTATATGGTTAGACAAACCATGGACATCGATCCCACGGAATACCACTCAACAATAAAGAGAGTGAGCTACTGACACATGTAACAGCTTGAATGCATCTCTAGGGAATTGCAGTGAGTGAAAAAAGCCAATCCCACATGGTTACACACGATCTGGGTTCCGTTTTTACAACATTCTTGAATTTACAAAGTCATCGAAATAGAGAACATACGAGTGGCTGTCAAGGTTTGGGAGTCAGGCAGGGGGCGGGCTGGGGCACGGGGGAGGCATGGTTATGAGGGCGCAGCCCTAGGGACCCTCTCGGTCATGGAAACGGTCAGGACCTTGACTGGGTCAATGTCAACAGTCTGGTCATGGTCAAATTCTACCACAGTTTTGCAAGATGTCACCCTTGGGAGGAATTGGGGCGAAGGTTACATGGGGCCTGTCCATGTTCCTCATGCACCTGCATGCACCTCCAATTACCTAACCATAAGAGCTTAATTTAAAAAAAAGATGTATTTTTTTATTATTATTATTTTAGAGAGAGGGAGGGAGAAGTAAACTCCCCACTGAGCTCGGAATCCCACAACCCAGGGCTCCGTCCCGTGACTGCGAGATCATGACCTGAGCCCAAATCAGGAGTCAGACACTCAACCACTGAGCCACCCAGGCTCCCCTTCAGTCTTTAGTTTTTAGTTATAAAAACATGAGGTTGTACATTTTCCTCTGAGCCCGGCTTTTTGCTATGTCCCATAGGTCTTGATGTATTTCTTTCTTTTCTGGGTAATTTTCACTTTGAATCTGGTGATACAGGAAAGCAGCTCTTCATTTACAAACAGCTAAGACGTGTTTGTTCTCTTTTTGTTCTTTATATATGATTTTAATGTAGTTGTATCTCAGAGAATGAAACCTTAAAAATCTCTCCTTTTGGGGGCACCTGGCTGGCTCAGTCAGTGGAGTATGCAACTCGATCTTGGAATCAGAGATCCAGGTAGTAGAGATTACTTTAAAAATAAAATAAAATAGGGGATCTCTGGGTGGCTCAGTGGTTCAGCGCCTGCCTTTAGCCCAGGGCATGATCCTGGAGTCCCGGGATCGGGTCCCGCGGCGGCCTCTGGGCATGGAGCCTGCTTCTCCCTCTGCCTGTGTCTCTGTCTCTATCATGAATAAATAAATAAAATCTTTAAAAAAATAAATAAGATAAAATAAAATAAAATCCCAACATAAGCATTTTTTTAAATCTCTCCTTTTTGCCTGTGTTCTTCCTTTGATTGCTGTGGCACAACTACTTCTAAAAGCATGGTATAAGCAACTTTTCATTTTTGCTTATTATTATTATAGGAAGCTGTTGGCTTCCACTGCATTGTTCATCTTTCAGAGACAGTTTGACTTTACCGAATGTTCTTCTTACAACAGAACATTAGTGTGTCACTCTAATAACTTGAAAGAACAGAAAATTATGCTTATTGTCATTTTCATTTTATTTTTGTCTTACTTTTTTTCCCCCCATCTTGTCTTTGATACAGAGGCACCTTGGATACAACTGATGACCCATATTGACACCTTTTTTTTTTTTTTTAAAGAAATTTCTTGGGACGCCTGGATGGCTCAGTGATTGAGCGTCTGCCTTCGGCTCAGAGTCAGGGTGTGACCCCGGCGTCCTGGGATTGAGTCCCGGCATTGGGCTCCCTGCAGGGAGCCTGCTTCTCCTTCTGCCTGTGTCTCTGCCTCTCTTTGGGTGTCTCACGAATAAACAAATATTTTTTTAAAAAATTAAAATTAATGGGATCCCTGGGTGGCTCAGCGGTTTGGCGCCTGCCTTTGTTTGGCCCAGGACGCGATCCTGGAGACCCGGGATCGAATCCCACGTCAGGCTCCCGGTGCTTGGAGCCTGCTTCTCCCTCTGCCTGTGTCTCTGCCTCTCTCTTTCTCTCTGTGTGTGTGTGACTATCATAAATAAAAAAAATTTAAAAAAATTAAAATTAAAAAAAAATAAAAAGCCTGGAGAGAGCCCAGTGTAACCACTGAAAGGATCCCATGAGGCAGCGGTCACTTTCAGACACCAGGGTTCCAGGGAAATATCTCAAGAAAGCACGGTGGGGGTGGGGAGGAGTTCACAGACAGAGGATCAGGCCTCAGGGTAGGGTCAGATCTCTTGGCAAGCAGCATCCTGGAAGCTAGAAAATACAGAGGAAGGCCTACGGAGCAGTGAGGGAGCATATTTGCCACCCCATAGCCTATATTCCCACAAATGACCAACCGATCTTTCAAAAACACATCCTTCCCCTATACGCTTTTCTAGAAAGCTAGAGAGGATGCTTTAGCAAAACAAGAGAATAAACAAAGAAAGAGGAAGGCAAGGATCCAAGGAAGAGAGGGTCCAACCCAGGAGAAAGAGAGGAGCCCAGAAATTACGCAGGATGAGTGGGAAGTCCCAGCATAAAGGCTCTGCCAGGGGACCCTGGGTGGCTCAGTGGTGGAGCATCTGCCTTCGGCTAAGGTTGTGATCTCAGGGTCCTGGGATCGAGTCCTGCATCGGGTTCCCAGCAGGAAGCCTGCTTCTCCTTCTGCCTGCTTCTCCCTCTGCCTGTGTCTCTGCCTCTCTGTGTGTGTCTCTCATGAATAAATAAATAAAATCTTGGGAAAAAAAAAAGGCTCTACCAGCCGGCTCTGCAGCAGCTCCAAGGGCATGAATGGAGGCCCCGAGCTTGGCAGGCAGGTGGCAGTGGGGGTATAGGGGGTGCACAGAGCAGATAGACAATGAACCGCTGGGTCCTGAACTCCAGGACCCCACCCAGGCCCCTTATGAAACCCCCCTGGGGCCCTAGCGACATCTTTGCATGGTCCTAAACCTTGGTAAATCATGAAAATAAAAGTTATTTTAACGACAATCAATTCTGGTGACTAGTGTCCCTTCACCCTCCTTTACACTGTCCTCTGGGTCAGGTGGCTTTTTCTCAACAAGCTAAGAAGTCAGGCAGGAAATCCATTTGCCCTGAGTATGCTGGGGGACACGAGTGTGTGGTTTGCAGTCACAGCGTGCACCCCTCTGTTGGTCCATAAGCAATGGCTCTTGGGGTGCCTCTGTCTGCGGCGCTGTGGACTCACTGGGGGAGCAGCTGACATCAGTAAGAACAAGGAGGCTACGATTACCTTTCTCTTCTCTCTCTGGAAGGTCACCTGACATCTTCGTCACCTGCAGAAGCAAACGGTGAGTCTTGTACCAAGAAGATAGGGAAAATGAATTTTCAAGGTATGTTGGAAGATGACTACAAATATTATATCATTTTTGAGGACTGTGTGATATTTGTGGCAGCTTCCAGCTTTTTAAAGTTGTGGGGCATACTCTGGTTTCTCTTCAGATCGTATAAATCTTTCGCCTTTTACTAAAGTTGTGGGGCAGGTTCCAATGTAAGTAAATATTAACTGTTATGCTTTTGTGTTCATAACGTTATTTTTTTATTTTTTATAGAAATATATATATATTTTTTTAATTTATGATAGTCATACAGAGAGAGAGAGAGAGAGGCAGAGACACAGGCAGAGGGAGAAGCAGGCTCCATGCACCGGGAGCCTGACGTGGGATTCGATCCCGGGTCTCCAGGATCGCGCCCTAGGCCAAAGGCAGGCGCCAAACCGCTGCGCCACCCAGGGATCCCTATAATGTTATTTAAAAAAAAAAAAAAAAAGATCTTTTCATTCGAGAGAAAGAGAGTGCAGCGGAGAGGAGTAGCAGGAGGGGGAAAGGGAATCTTAAGCAGACTTCCCGCTGAGCACAGAGCCTGATGCAATCCCACACCCTAAGGTCATGACCTGAGCCAAAACCAAGAGTCAGATGCTTCACCAAAGGAGCCACCCAGGTGCCCCCATAAGGTTATTTTTAAGGAGGGCTCCTCAAAACTGTGTATGCTTCAGGCCCCATAAAATGTGCATTCACCCCTATGGCTCTAGGAAAGAAGTAGAGCTGAGATCCTCGTTACATGACCAGTCAGCATGTGTAGAAATTTAGATTCAGGCCTTTTATAGTCAAGGATAATTTTGCAATATGCAATGGATGATTTCGTTCAAGGCGTATGAAGAAAAAAATGTTTAAGTGAAACAATTATTAACTTCAGAGGAAACAGAAGTTGTGCAAGAAAGAGATATCCGTTTGCGTGTATTATTCCTGGTAATAAATCTCTTTAATAAATCACACCTACGTACACATCCACACCCTGCTGGTTCTTCGGAGAGCCCTGACTAGTCCAATGGCCACGAGATAGTTAACTCTGGGAGAAGTGGGAGGCATGAGGAGCATCCCCGTGTGCGTGTGAGACAGAGAAACATTTTTTTTTACTAATAGTAGGTACTGGTTGTGTAGTAAAAATAAAACAACAAATCTGAATTGTCTAAAGAGCCTCTTATTTTTTTTAAAGAGTTATTTATTTATTTATGATAGAGATAGACACAGAGAGAGAGGCAGAGACACAGGAGGAGGGAGAAACAGGCTCCATGCCAGGAGCCCGACGTGGGACTTGATCCCGGGACTCCAGGATCACACCCCGGGCCAAAGGCAGGCGCTAAACCGCGGAGCCACCCAGGGATCCCCCTAAAGAGCCTCTTATTATCAGCTTCAGAATGATTTTACAAGGTGCAATGTGGCCACTATGGAGGTGGCTCGTGACACCCAGTGCTGTTAGGAGTCCGGAAAAGGAGGTCCCACTGCAGACAGGGCACAGCACCCTGGACCCCCCTTCCCTTAGTGAGCATTTTCCACAGGCCGGGCAGTGGGGCCATCGCCCCCACGGTTGGGGGGAGCACCATTGTTCCCTGAAGCCTCTTCTGCAGGAAATCCCACAGGGGTGGGGGGAGTTGTTCCCCAGGCCCTCTGCCCCCACCCACGGCCTCCAGCAGAGCATCTGTGCTCCAAGCCCCACCCCCAGCCTCCCTGACCTGTATCCCTCAGGATCAGTCTCAAGGAGCAGCCGTCAAGGACTAAATGTGTCTCTTCAGGAACCCCCCTCCCCTTTGCTCCCCACATCTCCCAGTCCTGAACGACCAGTTCACACAATTCCAAGTACTTGCATCTTCTCTCCGTACCCTGCTGAGCGGGCTCCATATTATAACCAGAACAGTGACTTGCCAAAGGAGGCAGGACTGCAGTGTCTCTGGGGGTCCCAGATCTTACAGCTCCCCCTCCACCTCTGTTTTTCCTTCCTTTGAAACCCCCAGCGGAGAGCTGGGAGCAGGGCGGGGGGCGGGCTCCTAACCCGTCATGTTCCGCCTCATCTCGCACACCCAGCGCTGCACCTGCTTGCAGAAATTGTCATTCCAGCGGCCGTTGGCCCGGACTTCAGCACAGTCTTCGCCTCCACCCACCTCGTGGCCCTGCCAGTCGTCTGGCTGGGTGGCCGCCCAGTTCCTAGGAAGGCAGGGTATTGCTAGAGCTCTGGCCCCTACCCCCACAACCCTCAGCCCCCACCTCAGAAGAGCACAGCCGAGGAGGAAGGGTCCCGGGAGTGGATGCTGCAGCCTTGAAGGGACAGGCTTGGGGAATTTGGGCCCCAAGGGAAGGATGGGCGGGGACAGGGGCAAAAGACCAGGTGGCTGTCCCCAGGCCAAACTAACAAAGCGGAGGGGGAGCCACTTACTTGTAGCTCTGCTGATAATCCGTGCCATCCACCCATCTCCAGGAGCCGTCACTATCGGTGAGACCTATCCAGGTATCGAAGGGGTTCGTGTGTTGTAGGATGAACTTCTGGAAGACAGGTGGGGAGGAAGGTTCTAATCCTCTGAAGCTCGAGCAGACAGTAGCTGTGGCTGCCTCCACCAGGCCCAGCTCCATCCATCCCCAGGCTGAAGCCTCAGCTCCCTACACAACTGTTCCTGCTTTTTCTTCTGGAACAGGAGTTAGGGTTTAGAGGACTTTGCGGGGCTAAGACTCATGCGAAGTGCTTTACAAAGATGATCTTATTCGATCCTTAGAAAGCTCTCTAAATTGGGTATCCCGGTGATTCACACTTCGCGTGTGAGACCAGGGGACTCACAGTAGTCGGCAGAGCCCAGAAAGTCCAGGGCCCGCCCGGGTTTGTGACCGCTGCCCCCTGACCCGACGCCCCACCTCATTCCCAGCTCACAGCTGCCACCACAACCCTCATCCTCTGCTGTCCTCTGCCCACCACCTCAAATTCTTGGAATCCTGACTCTGGCCCCTGCCCCTGTTGCCCCTGTGGAACTCAATGCCCATTCAGGATCTCGGTGTCACTCCCCTCTCAGGGGCATGGGTGCCTGCTCCTGCTTCTCTACATAGCTGTCACTTCTAGAGTTTTGCCAGGCTCTGGAGCCTCCAAGCTTGGACCCACACCCCAGAGCCCCATTCCAACTTGGCTACATGGGGTCCAAGATCTGGGCTGGAAATAGGAGGCTGCTTGGGGTATATGGGCAGGGACTGGGGAGAAATTGGCCCTGAGACAGCTCCCCCAGACTCATACACCCCCCCAGGTCAACAGACACCGCCCCCCCCCCCCCGCCAGTGGCCTTCTCTTTACAGATGGGACTTAAGCCCCATGGTTTGGGAGGGTGACAGAGGGAAGGTGTGGAGGAAGGAAACAGAGGGGTAGCTGGACTAACATACCCGCTTCACTCTTCCCTCAGCGAGTGGAGGGTCTACGATCCCATTTGGAGGGAAATTTCCTAATTCCATTCGCTTCCTAGATACCCAGTAATGATTCCAGACCACCCCCTGCGAGCACAGGTATGGCAGTGCCCTCAAATTCCAGAATCCTGCAAACCAGACAATGTTCTGTGCTGGAGGAGAGGCGCTCAGAGGCTGCGGGGCTGCCTCACAAATTCACAGGAGTTAACAGAGCTGGAGGCAAAGTGCTGGAGCCCAGGTATTCTATTCGCTGCCACCTGCTGCCCCATCCCCTCTTCCCGCCATGGCCAGAAGCTGAATAACTGAACGGAACACAAATTGTCCATATCCAGCCCTCTGTGTTGAAGACTGAGGGGAGGAATCAATAGTGCCAGATGATTGGAGAAGATGGTCCAGGAGAATTCATCTCCCCTATTCCTGGGTAAACAACAGGCAAGAAAGAATGGTGTCCATTCATAAACATGGCAGAGGGGGCATTATCATGGAACTTATGCAAAAAGTAGAGAGGAGGAAGATGAAGAGGAGGACAAAGAAGAAGCAAGAACTCTGATATTAAGAATTGACGTGAGGGCACCTGGGTGGCTCAGTGGTGGAGTATCTGTCTTCAACTCAGGGTGTGACCCCAGGGTCCTGGGATCAAGTCCCGAATCAGGCTCCCTGCAGGGAGCCTGCTTCTCCCTCTGTCAGTGTCTCTGCCTCTCTCTGTGTCTCTCATAAATGAATAAATAAAATCTTGAAAAAAAATTAAAGAGGAGATGAATGATATAAAATATCAAAGAAGACCTCCAAGAGGAAAGATGACACCATGGTAAAGTGAGGGGAAGAAACCCAAGAGAAAGATTTGAGCCACGGGGGACGAGCCTAGGAACTCAGCAGAAAGGTGAGGCTGGGGTGTGAAGGATGAGCTTGACAACAGGACCGCAGCTCAGGAAAGGAAAAGACAGGAGCACCTGACACAGGGCAATGGCTGTGGCCAGCAGACAACAGAGGGACGTTTGGATGACCCGTTCCAGAGAAAGAAAGAGAACACACAAGAAAAAACAGTTCAAAGAAAAAATAAAAAAAGAAATGTTCAAATTTTTTTTCAAAAATCTTTTAAAATATATATTTAAGAATTTAGGAAACCTCTAAAATGTACGAATTAAGAGGATGATCCTGGCCCCAGAGCCAAAATACAGAGAGAAGGAGCAACAGCAAGATATATCTGGATGAGGCTAATGAAATTCAAAGACAGAAAAGACTCCAACTATTCAGGCAAAACGCTTACAGAGTCTTGGAGAGGAAAGAACGAGGCATTAGAAACTTCAAAGTTGCCAAGAGACTAGATCTTCATTGCTCTCCCCAGAAAAAAGTGATAATTATATGACGTGCTAAGGGTGTTAGCTGATGCTATGGAGCAATCACATTGCACTATGCACATTGGATCCCTCAAACGTATACAACATTATATGTTGATTATATTTCAATTTTTTAAAAAAGAACGAGGCAGGGCACTTGGCTGGCTCACTCGCTAGAACATGGAACTCTAGATCTCAGGGTCCAGGGTTCAAGCCATATTGAGTGTGGAACCTACTTCCAAAAAGAGGAGACATTTGAAGAAGAATCAGCGGGCTGGTTTCCTTCTTCATATGGAAAGTCAAATGAAATCTTTGATTTTTTTTTTGAAGCCAATCAATTTCAGCCCATTGTTTAAGATTATCACAGTAATCACTAGTATAACTCAAAATAAGTGACACCTAGTTGGAGATACCATAGGGGAAAAAATAAAAAAGAATAGATCTCACACAACAAATGTGAGGAAACAAACGGAGGACATTGACAGAAAAGAAGACAGGCTTGAGATTAAATGTGTCTATTAAAAAAAAAGTAGGGAGGGATCCCTGGGAGGCGCAGCGGTTTGGCGCCTGCCTTTGGCTCAGGGCGCAATCCTGGAGACCCGGGATCGAGTCCCACGTCGGGCTCCCGACATGGAGCCTGCTTCTCCCTCCTCCTGTGTCTCTGCCTCTCTCTCTCTCTCTCTCTCTCTCTCATAAATAAATAAATAAATCTTAAAAAAACGTAAATGAGGTACACATCTATTAAAAGAAGACTCTTAATCAGTTTTTAAAAATCAAAAACATAGGGCACCTGGGTGGCTCAGTGGTTGAGCATCTGCCTTCCGCTCAGGGCGTGACCCCAGGACTATGGGATTGAGTCCTACATCCGACTCCCCGCAGGGAACCTGCTTCTCCCTCTGCCTGTGTCTCTGCCTCTCTGTGTGTGTGTCTTCTTGTGAATAAATAAAATCTTTTTTAAAAAAGAAAGTGCCTGGCACAGAGCAAAGACTCAGTGATTATCACCAGTCATATCCTCGTTTTTTAAAAAGTCCACTACCTACCCTAACAGCTTGGTTGTCCATGGTGAACTCTGGTGTTGGGGGCAGTGGGCAGGAGAGACCTGGAATGCTCTGGAGGGACCCAGTCACCCACGGCAGGTGTGTCCCTGGGAATCCTGCCCACGTGGTCCCTTATACCCAGTGACCCCCTCATCCCACATCCAGCAAGAAGGGACTGAGCGTCTGCACTGTGTTCTTCAGCCAAACCCGTGGCCCTTGGATCCTGTCTCCTGACCTGTCGCTGGTCACCGGCTCACCTGCCCACCCCCCACCCCCAGCTCCTGGCTGTAATGCCCCACCTCCTAGAATCAGTGACTGTCTCACCACAGCCTTCCCAGGGCTGTGCTGGACTTCTGCTTCTGGACCCTTCCTTTGGTTCCCAAATAAAAATAAAGCAGCGGGACCAGCCTCCCAGCTGTACCCTGGGAAGGGTCTAGTCTCACCTGCTCCTCCCTGGAGTTGACGACCACCAGGTGCGCGCTCTCCAGCTGGCAGTACTTCTCGGCCTCCGGCCAGGTCTTCCCGGAGCGGGAGAACCAGTAGCAGCTGCCCTCGTACTCCAGCCAGTTGACGGGGCAGCAGTCGGTGCCTGCGGGGGGCGGGGAGGGGATGGGGGGAGATGAGGTGCACGGAGGATGCTGGCACGCGAGGCCTGCGGACTCCCCTCCGTCCCTACCGTTGCTCTGGAAGAACGCCACCTGACACGTTAGGATGCGCAAGTCCGAGGGGAAGTGCTTCAGGTGCAGGAGCAGGGTGGCGTGATCTAGGGCACCGGGGAGGGCGTGATGCGGCGCGCTGGCTGGGGACGCGCGCGCGCGCGCGCGCGCGCGCACGCACACACACACACACACACACACACAGGCTGCACGCACTCTCGGGAGGGTGTCTGACCTGCCTTCACGTCCCTCTGCTGTTTCTCCAGCTTGGCTTCCAGAGAGGTCAGCTGGCTACTGGCACCGCCCCCTGAAAAAGGAAAGCCTAACCATTTCCTCCTCCCTTTGACCTCTTGAAGCTCCCTCCACCCTCACCCACCCTCGCTCCAGTGCTCCCGTGACCTCCGCCCTTGGCCTCCCCGACTCCCCTGCCCAAGTCCCCCGCAGTGACTTTGCAAGGCACAGACCTGCCCCCTCCCCACCCAGCCCCTGCCACACTGCAAGGGGTCACAGTCCCCTCCGGCCTCACAGGTTCTGTTCTCTCCACCTGGCACGGACCCCCACCATGCTCACCTGCCTGTCCATCCTTCCGAGCCCCTGCGCCCAGGGGTCAGCATCCCTGGAAGCCTCGCCCAGCTTCCCCGGCTGCCCCCCCGCCCCCCGCAGACCCAGCCTGGGGCGCCCAGCAAACCCTGTGTGGATGAGCCGCGGGGAGTCGCCCACCCACCATTGGAGAGGAGGACACCGAGCTCCATCAGGACCCCTGAGGAGAAGTGGCTGAAGTTCTCTTTAAGGATCCGCAGCTCCTCTTCTAGCTGAGCTCCTTGTCCGGAGGCAGGCAGAACAGGACAAAGTGGAGAGGGCAGCGACCCAAGTGACGGCCCACGCCCAGCCACGTGCCCCGCTCCGCCCCATCACCCGCCCCCACGGTTGTCCCAGCGCTGCCTCTTTCTGGCCCCTCTCAGAGCTCTCAGAGCCCTCGTAGGCCCCTGGCGCCACCCCATCCCCCACGGCACCCCGCGACCCTCACGTTGGGACCCGATCACACAGATCACCACCAGCATCAGGACGTTGAAGCCTAGGACAAGCAGACTGAGGCGAAATCCAGAGCAGAGACGCTGCAGCAGAAGGGGCCGGTGGGGAGGCAACCCTGCGGGAGATGGGGTGTCAGAGGAGGAGCAAGGGGACCAGCGGACCTGGACAGTGGACACGGGCAAGCATCGGGGAGACAGAGGTCTGAGGAAGTGCAGCCCTGGTGGGGGTAGATGGGGGTGAGCTGTGGGGGGAGTTGCTGGGCTTTGACCCCAGGGGTCAGGCATTGCACACATTTGCACACTCACCCCCATGTGAACACGTGCAGATGTGCACACACAGCAGCAACTCAGGTGGGTGCAACATGAAGGCACACGGTAGTCACATCACCTGTGTGCAAAACCCCGGGCTTGGACCCCGGGACCCAGAGGCCAGGCCCTGCGTTCTTGCCACCCATGCCTGGGCCCTCAGAAAGTCCCCACCAGAGCAAACCCCTCATTCCTGGGCCTTCCACTCCCCAGGTCAGCCCTCTCAGCTCTGTCCTGTGGCATCCCACCACCCCCTCCCCCCATGCCCCGCTCCCATCCTCACCCCCGCCCTGGAACCACCAGAACCCCTGCTCCCTGGCGACCTCTCCCCTCTAGCCTCAGCACCTTGCAGAAGCCTCTCCCTGCCCTTAGCCAGAATGAACCCCCGACTACCTCCCACACACACATGCTTTTCTCACTTTGCTCTCACACTCCACGCTGTGCACACACACACACTGAGGCATGCACATTGCTGCATGCACACTCGTTGCCCCTCGCATGTCCCCATCCCCACTGGCCCCTGCCACCCTCGCTTTGGGACCGGGTTATGTGGCCGGCCACCAGCAGTGGGACGTTGACACCCAGGATGGGCACACACTCTCATTAACACTCTCACACTCACACACATTAACACACACACTGTCTCGTACACACTCTCATGTGTGGTAGCACACACTGACACATCTTCACACGCGTACACACAGTGTCACACATTCACAAATACACCTGCAGTTTCACAGGTGCTGGGTGACTCCCTACCCCCCAGCCCCTGGCCAGTGTGCCCTCCCCACTGAAGCTCCTGCGTTTGCATTATCCACCTGCAAACAAGATGCTTCCTCTTTGCCTCAGATCCCACTTTCCCATATCCTCATCCCATCCTGGGCCAGTCAGTCAGGGGCCCAGAGTCCTCTGCCCAGTGTACCTCCTGCCACCATCCTGCAGTGGGCACTCCCTGTGCGGGATCACCCAGACCTCCTGAGATCTTTACACCAATGACTGTCACCATCCTCCACTTCAGACACACTCAGGACCCCATCTTGATTCACAGGCCATGTCTTTGACCCCTCCACTGCCTGCTCCCCTCTCTGGGTACAGCGTCCCCTGTGCCTGTCACCCCTTCCCCTCACACCCCTTCCCATCGCCTGGGCTTCTCTCCACACAGAAGCTTTTGCTGACCACAGTCATCCCCATCCAGCTAGGACCCCAGGGCTCAGTCCGGCTGCTCTCTCCAACCCTGTCTACTCATGAGGCCCCTGTCCTGCTTCCCAACCTGACCTGTGATCTATGAACCCCAATTCTGGGCTGGCTCAGCGATCGGTGCCTGCAGGCCTGAGATCAGACCACCCGTGGCTGAGTCCTGCTGTGCCACCAACTAGCTCCGAGGTCTCAGACAAGTCACTCGGCCTCCGGGTGCCTCAAACGTCCTCGTGTCCATTTCCATGGGGTAGCTAAGGTAGCCAGACTCACAGACATCAGGAGTAGAATGGTAGTCACCAGGGTCTGGGGAAATGGGGAGCTGCTGTTCAAGGGCTATAAAGTTTCAGTTACACAAAATGGATAAGTTCCAGGCACCACATTGCACCTGTACTGGAGCTCACGACCTGCGTTGGCACCCCGAGTCACTTGTGAAGAGGGCAGAACTCATATTACGTATTCTTATCACAACTTTTTTAAAGATTTCATTCATTTATTCATGAGAGACAGAGAGAGGCAGCGACACAGGTGGAGAGAGAAGCAGGCTCCATGCAGGGAGCCCAATGTGGGACTCGATCCCAGGACTAGGATCATGCCCTGGGATGAAGGCAGGACAATTTTTTTTTATGGGAGTAAGAAGGGGCACCTAGGTGGCTCAGCCAGTGAAGTGTCTCCCTTTGGCTCAGGTCATGACCCTGGGATCCTGAGATTGAGTCCCACATTGGGGGTCCCTCTGCCTCTGCTCCTCCCCAGCTCATGTTTTCTCTTCTCTCTCTCTCTCTCAAATAAATAAATAATATATTTTTTTAATGGGGGTAAAAAGAGTAGCTACCAGATTGGATTGTTCTGAGAAGAAAATGAAGTAAAACACACAAACTGCGGGCCAGGCAAGTTTGAAGGTAAAAGCATAGGTCTCCCGGACGTGGAAAGCCAGAGGCTAGATCCACCCTCCCCACCAGAAATGACCAAGACAACTATGAGAAGCCACCCTTTCTCAAGACACTTGGATCTCAAGCAACAAAGGGCAAGGATCCCTGAGAGACAGGAAACAACGAGAGGAGCCCAGTGGTTCTGGCTGCTGCAAAGGGAAAGTTTTCAGGCTGGGCAGTGGGGAGGGGAAATCCAAGCAAAGCCCAGCAGGCTGACTCCCCGGGGTGAGGACATGAAATTGAGAGTCTGGGTCAGACTCTGACCCTGAGTGCGAGGGTCAGAGAGGAGAGAGCTGCCCACAGAATCCGGGAGGTCTGCAAAGAGCTCCCCCCAAACCTTAGCAACATCCTGAGCACACAAACAGGCCCCGGGATGGTGCCTCGGGAGTGCTCCAGACCCGCCCAACATATCATAAAAGCAGGGGCACCTGACTGGCTCAGATGGTCGAGCATCTGACTCTTGATTTCAGATCAGGTCTTGATCTCAGGGTCTTGAGTTCAAACCCTGTGTTGGGTGTAGAGGCTACTTAAAAAAAAAAAAAACTTGCAAATATAGGGGCTGGCTCAGATGAAGAGCATGTGACTCTCGATCTCAGGATCATGAGTTCAAGCCCCACGTTGGATGTAGAGATTACTTAAAAAGTTAAATAAACTTAAAAAATAAAGTTTTTTTCTTTAAAAAAAAATCATAAAAGCAAAACCCAAAAGTATCAAATTGACTAAGTTGCTTAACCGCACCCCCAAAAGAAAACTCAAGGTTATGCAGAGGAATAGAAATATATCCAGCACACGATGTGGTAAAATTCACAATGTCTAGCCCACAATCAAAGATTACCAGGCATACAATGAGGTAGGAAAACACAACTCATAATAATAAGGTTAATAAATGTATCGAAACTGACCCAGGGCACCTGGATGGCTCACTTGGTGAGGCATCTGCCTTCAGCTCAGGTCATGATCCCAGAGTCCTGGGTTCGAGTCCCATGTCTGGCTCCTTGCTCAACAGAGAGCCTGCTTCTCACTCCCCCTCCCCCTGCCTCTCCCCTTGCTCGTTCTCTCTCTCTCCCTCTCCCTAATAAATAAACAGAATCTTTAAAAAACAAACAGACCCAGAATGGACACAGGTGCTAGAATTAGCAGACATGGACATTAAAACAGATAATATAACTGTGTGCTGTTCACAGACATGAGCACAAGTCAAGGAAGATACTTAAACATCCCAGGTTGAACTCCTAGGCATGAAAACCACAATGTCTGAAATGGAAAATACACTGGGTAGAATGAGTAGAAGATTTGACATAAATAAAGATCAGTGAACTTGGAGACACAGCAATAATAACGATATAAAAAGAAACACCGGGAGTGAAAAGACTTTAAAAAAACGCAGAGGCCATCAGTGAACCTGTGGGACCCCGAATATTATAGTCCTTGAAGGAGAAGAGAGCAGAGCAGGGAGGGAGGCAGAAAATGGGTGCTGAGGAAAGAGTGGCCAAAACATCTCCAAACTGGCTGAAAACTAGGCATCTAGAGCATGAAGAAGAGTGCAAGCTGTCCTGGGAAAGCAGGTGACGGGTGTGGGTGTCACTGTGTGCCTCTGTCTCCTGCCTTGCTGCCCAGCAGGCCTTTTGGGGTGAGCGCCCTCCTCCGTGAAATCCAAGACCTCCAGGCTCTGCCCCAGCCTCCTGCTTAAACTGGGAATCGGTGCCCCCTCAGGAGATCTCATGGGGAGTGGTCCCTGCTCATGCCCAGCTCACTACCAGGAAAGGAGGAGCCGTGGTGGGAACACCTATCCCTCCTGCTGCCCTTGCCCTAATCAGCTCCCATCCACCCCCCCATCCTGCAAGGGCACCAGGTCCCCTGCTGTCCACCAGCCCTGGGAATGAGGGTCCCTCCCTGAGCCTCCTGTCTCCAAGAGCCTAACACCATCACCACACTCCTTGCAGCTGCTAGAGGAGGATCTAGGCTGAGAGCTTAGGGGAACGGAGTGGGGGGCCCAGATCGTGCTGTGCCCAGCCCCCAGCTCCCCCCCACATACACACTCTCCTGGCTGCACCTGCTTTCCTGGCACACACAGGCACGCATGCACACGGCACACGCACGTACACACACTGCTCAGGTTAGGAGGAAATGTGCATGTGCACACACACATGCACACATGTACACATGCACACACATGCACACATGTGCTTGCATGCTGCTCAGGTTGAGAGGAGGAGGAGGAAGCCGTCTCCAGCATTCCAGTTAGGGCAGACACCCTTTCCTGGGGTCCCGGGGGTAGAGAGGAAGGTGAGGTCAGCGGGCAAGCAGTGGAGACAGGCACCCTACACCCAGAGAAGTCTGGTCCCTGGTCACGGGAGAAGGTGACAGATACCCCAGAGCAAGAGAGCAACCGGCAGCTACTTGGAGGAGGTATGAAACCCCAGAAACTAGACACTCACTTCTACAGAACCGGTCTTCTCTCCTGGGGCCATGCCCGCAAGGACCCGGCCCCTCACCTCCGCCCAGCTGCTGGTCGCTGTCCTCAGAGTCCAGCTGCTGGATGTCTTGACAGTCCTTGGCCATGCTGGGTCCGGGGCAGGAGCTGGGTCGGCTGAGGCTGGGTTCTCGGCTAATGCTGGAGGCTAATGCCGGCAGAGGCCCATGATGGGGTTGGATGGAGGGTGGGAGCAGGTCCAGGCTACCCCTGGGGTCGGGTTTCAGCTTGGAGGTGAGCGTGGGGCTGAAACAAGGCTGGGTCCTGTCCCTTCTGGGAGACTGCTCGCTGGCAGTGCCATGGCCAGAAGCCCGCCTCCCGCACTCCTGTGGACTCAGCCACCTCCCACTCCTCCCTCCGGCCCCCGCTGCCCCTGAACTAGGGTCTCCTCCACACCAAATATCCCCAGTGCCACCTGCCTCCCCAACCTTAGTTACCTATTAAAGTAGGGGGGCCGGGCTCCCAGGTCTCTCACACAGCCCAGGCCCCAGGACAAGTAGGCACCAGAGCCAGAAGAAGTGGGGCAGGGGTACCCGGAGTGGCTGGTCTGGGCGAGAACCCCGAGCCCGTGTGTCCGAGTGTCCGAGTGCTTCTCACCTGGCATCAGCTGCCCCTGGGACTTTGGACAGTAAATAGAAGGGGAAATGGGGTTGGAACTCAGGCAAAGGGTGGCGGGGGTGGAGGACATGACTGTGTCTGTTCCTCCCAGAGAAAGGGGTCTCCTGGCCTGTTCCCCATAACCCCCCACATGCCAGCTACCTCGCTCCTCACTGCAAGTTTGGGAGGGGTCCGGTCCGGGGCGCTGGGGTGCAGTTCACCGGGCTCCCCTCTGCCCCTCCCCCCTTCGCTTCCTGTCCCAGGAGTTCCCAGAACTGTTGGTGTCTCCAAATATCACAGGGGCCGGTTCTCTGGTCTTGCCCAATGTGCAGGCTCAGCATCCGGGCTCCCCAGCTCTGGGCTGGTTCACCTCCCTCTCCTGGGAATAAAGCCCCTCAAGGACCAGGGCATAAGGGCAGGGGCACCGGGTGGCAGCAAGCGGCCCTCCCTGGGCAGAGGGATGGAACCTCACCAAGCCCCATCTTCACCTGTGCTAAGTCATCTACATGTGACTGTCCCAACACGGCCCCCGCAGTGGTGGGCACCTCTGTGGCCCCCACTGCCCAGGGGAGGGAATGGGCCCTCAGGAAGAGTAAGTGACCTTCCCTGGGCAGAGAGAAGCAAATCAGGGGAAAGAGGGGGAGAGTCAGGCCATAAGACAGAGGTCTTCACAGTCCTGTGGAAAAGTTTGAGTAATGGGGCACCCAGGTGATGGGGTGCCTGGGTGATGGGGCGCCCGGTTGATGGCACCCGGGTGATGGGGTGCCTGGGTGATGGGGGCACCCGGGTTATGGGGGCACCTGGGTAATGGGGCACCCAGGTGATGGGGGCACCAAGGTGATGAGGCACCCGGGTGATGGGGCACCTGGATGATGGGGGCACCTGGGTGGCGCAGCAGCTGAGTACCTGCCTTCGGCTGAGGGCATGATCCTGGGGTCTTGGAATCAAGTCCCGCATCGAGCTCCCCACAGGGAGCCTGCTTCTCCCTCTGCCTGTGTCTCTGGCCCTATCTTTGTGTCTCACATGAATAAATAAATAAAATCTTAAAAAAAAAAGAGCTGACCAAGTGCATTATCTACTCCATGCCAAAGTTGACCAACTGACATCCGGGAATCGGGACAGGAGAGGGGTTTTCTCATTGGCCACACACCTCAACTGGATTGACTCCAAGTTTCTGGATTCAACCACCACTGCCCACCCCCAACCTGGTGAGAAAGGACAGGGAACACGAGAGACATCCCTTGCCTCTTTTCTCCCTGTTTGAAACTCAGCATCTTAATTTTTACCAAAAGTTGACATGTCCTTGGACTATTTCTGAAGGTGTCATATGGTCTTGTCACTTTTCTATTGGGTTTTTCTGATTTGGGTTATGGAATCCTGTTTTATTTGGTTGATACTGGTTTAGGTAGGGTTTTCTTTCTTTCTTTCTTTCTTTCTTTCTTTCTTTCTTTCTTTCTTTCTTTCTTTTTTAGGTGGTGGGGGACCTCAGGCACAGAAAGTCAGGTTAGTCGTATTTCTGAGTTCATGGACGCCCCACCTTCCTCCAACCTCCCCTCCTACTTTCCCTCCTCTATCCTGTTCCCCCAAACCAATTCTACTCTCCAAGGGCAAACAGTCTCCAAAGACGGTGGCAGTCAGCTTCTTCCCTTGCCATGCATGCAAGTCACACCGGCCAGGCCGGCGCCTGAAGAGCCAGAGTCTGTTTCCCTTCCCCTTGAATCTGAGCTACCTGCATTGCTTGCTGTGGCCAGTAGAAAGTGCTAGAAGTGAGCCCAGTTTTGGGCTCAGCCTTCAGAGACCTGGAAGTTTCAGTTTTCAGCCTTGGACGCCAGCCTCCATGCTTTAGGGAAGTCCAGCTCTCCTGCTATAGAGAGGCCTGGACTGGAGGTGGGGAAGTAAGACATGATTTGGAGATTGAGACAGAGAGATAGAGAGACAGAGAGAGAATGACCACACAGAGGAGCACGGAGGCCTGAAGACGTGTCAACAAAGCCTTCCAGGAGCTTCCAGCCCAGCACAGCCAACAGCTGAATGCCCCCACGTGTGTAACCCTGGCCAATATGACGTGGACCACCTGGCCTCACCCTACCCAAATTTCCAGCCCCATTGAACCTTAAGACATAACAAGTACTCCTTTGTTTCAAGCCACAGAAGTTGAGGTTGGTGTGTTTTGCATCCATAGGTGACCCAAAGAGTATGCCTCAATGGGAACCTTTGTAAAATACGTGCTGGAGTCTATGTGTCTCTCTGCTATATACATAAATGGAACTTTTATGAATCTTTTTGTTCCTGACCTTCTTCGTCCAACAATACGTGTTTAAGATCTGTCCGTGTTGCTATTTGTACAATCTGGCTTGTTGCTATGAACCCCAGGGTGGCATGGATTGGAGTTGATTGTGCTTTATTTACCCAGTTCCCTAGTAATGAACCCTAAGAGGTTGCCAACCGCCAATAACCACAATTAACACCACACTCATGGTTCCCATCATGATCCCATGAAGACCCACGTAAGAAGTTCTCTTTGAGCCCTACCCAACAATGAAAGCACTGGGTCATCACAGAAAATTCTCACACTTGGGATCCCCGGGTGGTGCAGCGGTTTAGCGCCTGCCTTTGGCCCAGGGAGCGATCCTAGAGACCCAGGATTGAATCCCACGTCGGGCTCCCGGTGCATGGAGCCTGCTTCTCCCTATGCCTATGTCTCTGCCTCTCTCTGTGTGTGTATCATAAAAAAAAAAAAGCTCTTGCACTTAATTCCAAGCACATGGACATTTTTGCACAGATGAGATCATATCCACAATATTTTTTTAGTCACCTTCTTTCCCTTTCTTTCTTTGCTTGCCAGGTCCTCCACCTCCCCTACACACTCCCTCACGGCATCTTCCGTCCCTGCTCCTTCTAGGAGAGTATTAATAACCCAGAAATTACCTTTCTGTCTTATCTCTGCTATTAAAGGCAGACACCTAGAGGTGGGGATCCAGAGGAGACCTCCCTTGTGAAGTACACCTGGGGTCAAATTGCAAGATTGCAAAGCATTCTCAAGCTCTATTTCACTGAGACCCATCAGGGCGCAATTTTCCGGAATGGCTCTGCTGGGTGATATCCCCACCACCAGCCCAGTTAGGGCCCCCACCTTCTGCTCCATCCTTCCCAACTCTTGATATTATTCAACTTCCCAATTGCTACCAATCTACTGCCCTCTTCCAACTCCCAAATTCCACATTTCTAGTTAAGAGTGGGCTTGGACACTTCTCCAACTAGGTACTAGTCATCTGGGTTTCCCCTTATGTGAGCTGCTTTCTCATATCCTTCATCTATTTTCCTGTTGGGTTTCCTGAATTCACGTTGTGAATCAATCAGAATTCCTGGTGTATTTCTGTTCTAGTTACTTGTTCAGAAAACAAGAAAGAGCTTTTGAAAATTTTTTAAAAATGATAATATTGCTGAAGTCAAAAAATCAGCAGGAGCTTTGGAAAATAAATTTTAGGAAAGCTTCCAGGAAAAAGAGAGAAGGGATTAGGGGGGGTGCGAAGAAAGAGAGAGAGGAAGAGAGAGTGATCAGAAGGACAGAAACAAAAAGAAAAGTTCTGTTAATGAGAAAACAGCTGAGTTAGAGGACTTTTTTCCCTGGCCTCATATTTCTATGTATATTTTTCATCAGGGAAATTCTCTGGGCTTCCTCTCAGCCCCCTAGCTCTGCACTCCTACCTAGAGAGGGAAGCATGCCTTGTGGAGCTGCCTCCCACCCACCTTATAATCTGCTCTGCCACAGGGCAGATAGATCTGCCTAATTCTTGGATGAAATCTTAACAAGTCCTTTTGATTTAAGAATTGCTTTGTTTTGTTTCATTGTTTGTCGGGGTTTTTTTAAGATTTATTTATTCATGAGAGACACACACACAGAGAGAGAGAGAGAGGCAGAGACACAGGCAGAGAGAAGCAGGCTACCTGTGGGGAGCCCGATGCGGGACTTGATCCTAGGACCTAGGGATCATGCACTGAGCTGAAGGCACACACTCAGCCACTGAGCCGCTCAAGTGTCCCTATTTTGTCAGTTTTGATTTAAGATTTTAAGCCAAATCCACCTTTCCCTGCTTATCAGCAATACAGCCAACATCTCAATATCCACATAACTGTCTACTGTGTCCTAGTTCTCAAGTGGTTTCAAACGTCAGAGGAGAACAGTCTCTTCTTCTATTCGCCCTGTAGAACCTCCACAGGTAACGTAAAAGATCAACGTGGAGAACCAACATCCTCCTCTTAGGAGTTCTGGAAGGAAAAGCAGGAAGTCAAAGGGAGAAAGTCATCAAAGAAATAATGCAAGAAAGTCCGTTGGAATGAAAACGTTGAGGCTCCAAATTCAGATAACCTACAAATTAATTGCTCAACTTTTCACTGAAGAATGACCCAGAATGCACCGTGGTGAAATTTCAGAATACCACGGAGGAAGAGAAGGTTCTAGAAGCTACTGGAGAGGAAGAGAAATCAGCTACAATGAAACCAGGAGAATGGATCCCACTCATCAGCTGTTACATCCAACACTGGGAAATGCCAGGGAAATGCACAAGCTCCAGCTTCCAGGGGAAATTTCCTTCATCCAAGAATGGTAAAGCCAAATGATGATGGGGGGGGGCGGAGGGCCTAGGTGATGGGGGGCTCAGTGGTTGAGTGTCTGCCTTTGGCTCAGGGCATGATCTCAGGGTCCTGGGATCAAGTCCTGCATGGGGCTCCCCGCAGGGAGCCTGCTTCTCCCTCTGCCTGTGTCTCTGCCTCTCTCTCTGTGTCTCTCATGAATAAATCAATAAAATCTTTTTTTTTTAAAGTGCAATTGGTGGTTCTCACTTTGCTCAGCTTATAAGAACAATAACCACACTTATAAACCAAACATATAAGGAGTTCAAAAATGAATTTTAAACTATATTTTACAAAGAGACTACTGATTTTTTTTTAAAGCCAGGTAACAGTAAATTGTCTTTTCTACAAATATGCAGCAAATATCAAAAATTCACCTTGAGGTGTACCTGGGTGGCTCAGTTGGTTAAGCATCCAACTCTTGACTTCAGCTCAGGTCATGATCTCAGGTTGTGGGATTGAGCCCTATGTTGGACTCCGTGCTGAGTGCAGAGTCTCCTTGAGAGTCTCTCCCTACCCTTACTCTCTCTCTCTCTCTCTCTCTCTTTCTCTCATAAATAAATAAACAGTAAATAAAATCTGTAAAAGAAAAATAGACCTTGACATTTGGGTGCACATGCTAAGGGACTGGGGTCGGGGCAA